TCGTCGTCGTCGCGTACTCACACACACACACACACACACACACACACACACACACACACACACACACACACACACACACACACACACACACACACACAGATTAAAATGCTGCGCTGGTCATGTTGCCTTTTTTCTGTATTTGGGACCAGACAACAGTCCACTTGACAGTTAACCATTAACAGTTTTTTCCAAGTTTACTGGCTGTCTCTCTGATTTTCACTTGATATATTTTGTTTTCAGATTTAATATGATTTTAGTTTTTGTTTCAAAAGATTTCCAGGAAGACATGTGATACTTGTGTTGATAACTGGGGCCTGTAATCACCCCTGCACTTTATACAACATTACACTAAATTGCAGCACATTATATCTACAGCAGTACCAATTCACCCTCATTGCAGACACATAAAACACCTCACTATGCCCACATCACTGTCAATATGAAACTGTCCTACCTTATCCCTGCAAACACACTCTCACAACCATCAGTGAAACACGCATGTAAAAGGAAACCAGGGAATTCACATCTGTCCTGTTACGTTAACTAAGCTGAAATGCAGAGTTAGTCAGCTTTACGACTCCTAATGACTTTATGACATACTTTATGATATGATGCTGTTATGGAAGTGGAGATAAGATTACATGCTGTATTTGACTGTTGCCAGAAAGCACTCGTGTCTGTGTGAACTGTGAAACACAAATATATGTCGGCCACTTTGAAGAGACAATAAATGGAACCCTTCATACATTTTTACCCCATAACCCCTGCCAGCAGTGACCCTACCTTACATTGCAGGGATTGAGTGCCAGTCGAATGATTCCTGTAGCCTTAGATGAAGTGAAGTCTTTAGTAGAAAACTGTCTTTATCTCCACATTTTCAGCCGTTCAACTCTTGGTCCTCTTGTCCTTGTTGTGATGTGACTTACTTTCTACATCTGAACGTGGTCCGCTTAGCGTTTGGTTTTGTAGTTTCTGAAGGGAGTTCACTCAGATGACATGCATTTGGCTGTGTCTATGGTGCGTGTAATTACAAGAGAAACACCGTCTAGCCGAGGAGTGGCACATGTGGTGTGTGTTGACGCCTAGGTGGGACATCTTTTTCATCTATTTTCAGCTGTGTGTCTGTTTACCTTAAACATAACATGCTACAAGTGTGAACAAGTACAGGAAACACCATTAAGCATAAGCACGTGCTCACAGAGCAGGGTATACTTCTTATCTGACTAATATTTACTGCACTGAGCATGATTGTGTTTATTTTTACTTTTCTACCATGACAACCACTACAGCTATGAGTCAGAGAGTCTGCTGTATCTTCACATGTGTGTGAGAGGTTTTCTTTTGCTTCTGTGCTGTTGTTATTTCTGCTTTTCCCACACTTCATTCACTCAGGAAAAGGATATTCTTTTATATTTATTTTGAAAACCATTGTACCCCTTTATATAAATATATGGTGTTTTATTTGGAGTCCATGTATGTTGAATTTATGCTCAGTCCTGTTTTTGATGGACCAGATACATAACAAATGTGATCTTCCTGGCTTGAATCTGTTTCCTAAAGCCCTAATGTCATTGCCTCCAAGAGCACAAAGTATAATAGAGCAAATGCTAAAAAAACAGAGTCTGGAGCTTGAGGACTTTTTAATCACACCACTATTTTCAAGGTTTAAGTTCATTCTTACTTTAACACCTAATTATTAACAAAAGCAAGACAGGCGATATATATTTTTATAGGAAAATAAGCTTGCATCTCAGATACAACTCGGCTAATTTAGAAGACAACGTTTTGTTTTGTTTTATACAAAATATGCTTTTTTTTTTTTTTTTTTTCTTTTTTTGTTGAGGGTGTGTAAGCCCATCTGGAACACAGCTGCTTCTCTTCACCCACCACTGTGAGGCTACAGTGGGAGGGTGTAATGCATCCCTTTCAACATCTCAGTAAATGAGTCATGATACAGTAAAGCATGCTGCTGCTTCTGGCTGGTTATGTGACTCATGTATGGGGAGAGAAATTACCCAAAATAAGATGTAAGTGCAGAATGCTTGTGTGGATCACAAACAGTAAGTGATGATTCATTATTTCCTCTCCCCTATGTCAGCCTTATTTACCGCAACAAAAAACCCAGTTCTATCTTTTGATTGTAGATAAACACTTGATCTAGAAGTCAAATTGCTACTAATTAAACGTGTTGAAAAATATATACATATGTTTTATGTCTCTCCTGTGACATGTCTCCATACTTTAATGTACAAAAAGCTCTTTATTTTTCTCATACTGCCTGTGCTGCAGCACCTCTTTTCATCCTCTGTCTGAAACCAGAGCCCAGTCCGCTCTGATTGGTTAGCTGGCAAGCTCTGTTGTGATTGGTCAACTGCCAAGAGTTGTCACGCCCCTTACCCTATCATGCATAATGGGGTGGAGCGTTAGCCAAAAGAAGCAAGAGTGTTATATAATGATGTCACTATGTCACTGAAGTAAACAAATAAGTCTGATGGAGGCGTTTCAGGCGTGGAGTGTATGGGAGAGAAACTCATTCTGGAGGGAACTTTGGAATTTTAGCCTTTGCCGACCATTTACAAGCACAAAAACAATAAATCCCCCAAAGCAGGGCCCCTTAATATTTAGTGGAATAGGTAGAATACATCTTACACCCACTTTGGGTCAGTTCTCATTGTAGCATATGCAAATATCTAATACATTTTAACAAGAACTTTGTTTCCACTTTTGAACATAATGCAATTCTACAGTATTACTATTTTTTGTTATTATACAAGATAATTACTGAACATAATATCGCAGTGATTTCTAGAAAAACCCTGACTAATAGCATTCAGACACACAGGAAGGGGGTGGTCTCAGGAAGGGTGTGGTCTCAGGTAGAAGTGGACACAAAAGAGTGCTTGTTCTGTTCTGCAATTTGATTGGGAAAGGGCACTGTGTTAGCGGGAAGGCATCAGGGAAGAAAGAAGAAGAAGTTTGGGAATGGGCAGCTTTGGTGCAAGTGTGTATGTGCTGGAGTTAAGATGTGTGGAGGAAATGTTGGGGTATTTCCTGGAGGACACAACCTGAGAGAATGACCAGGAGCCTGGAATGTGCTTCTTATAAAACGTCCATTCATCAGATGTTCACTTTCTGTTTCTCACTTTTTCTGCCTCATTTTTCCTCGTCCCTCTGTGACCCCTCAACCACACTCCATTGTTTATTTTAATTATACAATGCAAGGAACTACAACACCTGCCTGGATGTTTGTTGGGGAAGCCTGAAGAGAGGGGGAAAAGAGGACAGGTACAGAGGTGGAGGAGGAGCAGATGGAGTTGGCCAGGGAAAGGTCGTACTGTAGAGGGAGGGAGCAGACGTGAGGAGATAGCTGAGAAGGATGTTGAGGTCACTGGATGAGTAGGTCGACACAGCTAACATGTATCCTGAAAACAACGTAGAGATTAAAAAGTCTACATATAAGCTAAATAAACTGACTTTGAGTTGTTAACTGGAGAAACAACTGGA